CACGATTCATGCAAAGGGAGTTTTAAATATTCAGCTATTAAAACACGATTTTCTCGAACACCGAGCTGAAACGTTCAAAGGCTACACACAATCTATTCATAAAACTTCTTATGTATGCGGCTAAGTAGGACTTAAATCAAGTAAAAAGTTAGTAGAAATGTCCAACTGCAGGTACAATTTTGAAAAGTTTCATCCGTTGGAGTCATGATGAAATGTTTAATTAGTATTTTAATTACAGTTATTATACTCCATTAAGGGACAAAAAATAGCGGTTTGGTATCTAAATATGATTGAAAAGTTTCATCCATTGAAAGCATGATGAAATGTTTAATTATTATTTTAATTAAAATTGTCATACCCGATTCAGGGACAGGAAGTAACGATTTGATGTCTAAATATGACTTTCGAAAGATTTTCTTGTAGGTTATATCTGTAACATTTTAGTGTTTTGTTCACTAGAGAATTGATTGTTTGTTTATTTTATTTAGAGCAAAGCCACATTGGGCTATATGTTGTGTTCCTCACGGGGAATCGAACTCCGGATTTATAGCCTAGATTTCCTACCGAGGGACTCAATAGAAGAAGTCTATTACATGCAGGCTACAGGTTATGTTTTCTATTAGGCATAACTTCACAAAGAACGTTACAACAGAAACCCCGAATCTTGTGTACGATGAACTCACAAATGAAGCCCAAGTCACTTACTTGCAAAATTTCCCCATTAATCAACCGATAGCAAACAACCGATTGACTAGCTGATTAACTTTTGATCATTTAATAACTAACCCGATGAATGAATCATTCACAAATAGACAATATATATATATATATAACTAAACCACAGACTAACTTACATTGTCTAACTAAAAACTCTTTAATTGGCTGTGAAACTGATTAATTAATTGAAACTCACTCAGTCTGACGTTTTTATATTATACTCTATTTCACTAATGCCCCCAATGGTACAGCGGCATGTCTGCAGACTTACAACGCTAGAAACCGGGTTTCGATACCATGGTGGGCAGAGCCTCCCCTCACTGGTGGCTCATCGGTAAGTCGGAGGACTTATCACGTTGTTGATGAAATTTGAAGATATATATTAACTCGTTATCGATAGATGTATTATTTTTCCCGAATAACTCAAAAGATTCCGTCCAACGATTGAACACGTTTATCCGTTGGAGTTATGACGAAATGAAGTTGTCATATCTCACTGATAGTGCTTTAGTGTTTTTAAATGTTTTGCTCCATGTTAAGCTTGAATGAAAGGCGGTAAACTGTTACCATAAGTATTAGAGACATTCACGTCTGAATACTCATATTCAACAACTTTATCAAACTGGAAAACGACAGATTTCTATGCTTTTATGAAGTTTATATTTTCACCTTCTGAAAGGGAAGAGATAATTTGCGGATGGCAGGAAAGATCATATTGTTACGACAGCGGAAGTCACGTGACTCTAGTAATACGTCTTGAGTTTGTAGAAGGATCATGACTTTTCCTGGCAGCTCTAGTCTTTTCTAGGCGCCCTCTCTTTTAGTATATAAGACCGCCAATTAAAGCGGAGATAGAGAAATTGTAGATAGACAGATATAGAGACAGATAACTGAGTCAAGTGAGCAGTAGTGACCGT